GTGGTTGTTACAGCATCCCTGTTGCTGTTGTGTCCGGTAACCCACTGATTGCCACCCAAGACTTCGGCTTTTTGATGCTATTTCATAGATCACCTTAATGTTTTCTTTTCTTGTTAAGTGATTCATTTGTCCCAGAAACATTTCGGCACCTACCTGACCCAGTGCTGAGTCCTAGAGAAACTGGCTGTCCAGAGAGGGAGACAGAGAGGTATATCCATAATTGATGTCATACGCTGAATAATTTATTGACACTGTTGACTGGCTCGGCCTGCCATAGCAAAAGACGACAGGACAAATGGCTTGAACAATACAAATCTATTGTCTCATGGTTCTGGAGGCTGGAAGTCAGAAATCGAGGTGTTGGCAGGGTTAGTTTCTGCAGAGGTCTCTCTCCCGGGTTTGTAGACAGCTGTCATCTCCCGTGCTTCACATGGTCTTCCCTTTGTGTGAGTCTGTCCTCTGCTATGACCCCAGCATACTGGATTCCAGCCCAAACTACTGACTTCATTTTAACTTAAATGTCTCTTTAAAGATACTATCTCCAAACACAGTCACATCCCGAGGTACTGGGACCTCCGCGTATGAATTTAGGAGGAACACCATTCAGCCCACAACACTGAGCAGTAAGTACTTGTACTGAATATTTCCATTTTCCCGCCCAGGGTCACACCCTTTCTGTGCCCTTCTTCACCCTGCTCTGTAGCCCCGGAGGCTGACTTCCAGGACTGCACCCTCCAGCCCCTTGCCCTGTTCCCAGTCGGGTTCCAGCTGGTATCACCAATGGGTGGCATTGGCCTGGGACAGAGAAGAAGGAGGAGACAGAAGTTGCTCCCCACTCCCGCTGTCAGCGCCCCCCTACTCCGCCCGCCATACAGTCCAGGACCGTAAAGTCTGCAGGTCAGCCTCCACGCCCAGCTGTCCCCTGATTCCAGGCTTTGTCTCTGCCCTCCTTTTAGGCCTAGACACGGCCGACTGTGCCCGTCTGTACCCGCTGTAGGGGCCAGGCCACCCTGGTGACTTCCCTACACTCTGCCCACATCTTTGTAATTAGTGCCCGGGAGCCTCTCTGACAGAAAGAACAAGAGCATCTCCAATGACAGAACAGCTTTGGCAAGTGGATGAAATCCTGAATACTGCTGCTCACCTTTGGCAGGGAGCAGTTAGCTGTTGCTTTGAAAGAGGAGGCAAGCAGGTACATACATTCAGCCCACAGGACAAGGCCCAGGAAGATGAAGCGCTCGGAGGCGGGGGGTCTTCAAGGAGGCGGCAGGAGGGCCCCCTCTCACCCCCTGGCCCAGACCCTCCCCTCCCCGACTCGAGGCCCACACCTCCACTTCCTCTCACAGTCAGCCGGGAAGGGTGTGTCAGCCCCAGCACACACTCCACCAAACGGGACAGATATGTCCCCAGGGCCTGTTCACTCCCTCAGCTTATCGCTCCCATAACGCCGGCCTGGTGTTGTAACGCTGACTGCTCATCTGAGTCTGGGCCTCTTTGAAGCAGCAACCGGGATGCTTATCTCTGCCTCCTGACACCCAGCCTGGTGCTGAGCCTAGAGCTGACTCTTAGAAAGACTTTTCTAGTTGAACAGCACCGAGAAATAAAACCAAGTTAGGGCAAATGAGGATGCGGTGATCTCAACGCTCCTTGCTGGAGGCCTTCCCTTGGTACACCCATGGGGAGAAAGCTGTGGTTCAGTGGAAGCAGTCCTCCACCCCATCACACCCCGGGTCACTTCCAGTCCTGGCTGTCCCCTTTGCCTCACTGACAGATCTCTTTTACAAACCTCTGGGCCTCAGCTTTGTCTTCTGTGAAATGGTCAACATCATAGCACCCACCCACCTCATAGCCTTGTTGTAAGGAGTCAGAGGGTTAACACCTGCAAAGTGCTTAAAACCATGCCTGGTATATAGTAATTGCTCAACAAATAGGAGTAATGATGATAGCGATTTCTGACCATTTCACGCCTAAGAGCAATAAATTACAGCTTATTCAATTGTGTGTGTGTTAGTTGCTAAGTTGCGTCTGACTCTGCGACTGCATGGACTGTAGCCCCCCAGGTTCCTCTGTCCTTGGGATTCTCCAAGCAAGAATACTAGAGTGGGTTGCCATCCCTTTTCCAGGGGATCTCCCTGACCCTGGGTCTCCTGCAATGCAGGCAGATTCTTTACCATCTGAGCCACCATGGAGCACACCTAACAATTTTCAAGGCATTTTCACATGGCTGGCCATTCAGTGCTTCAACAAACAGCAGCCTTATCCCCAAGAAGAATCCAGTTTGGGCAAAGGAGAGAGAAGCACTTTATGCCTACCTGCCCTGGGAGGTCTCGTGGTATCACCATGGCTCCTGTTGTCACCAAGGAAATAGGAGCCAGTTAGTCCTGACCTCTGGTTATCAAAATTAAAGGGCAGTTGGAATCACACTATGGGGTTTTCTCAACGGAAGATGAGACCCTTAAAAGCACACATTTCGGGGCTGGTGTGGGCCCTTCTTTTCTTGGGGAAGGCACAGCCCTCCATCTTTAATGTGCCCCTGAAGCTCCTAGAATTCTTGGAAAATGCAGATTCTGACTCAGTAGGTCTGGAGTGAGGCTTGAATCTCTGCATTTCTAACAGACCTCCAGGCTGACACCAAGGTTGCTGGTCTGAAGATAGAGTCAGAAACTTGTCCAAGTTTGCCCCAGACTTCCCTGGTTTAGCACTGAAAGTTTTACATCGGAGGAAACCACTCAGTCCTGGAAAACCAGAACAGTTGATCACCATATCCACAGACCACACTTTGAATGGCAAGGTCAGAGCAAGGCAGGCTCGTGCTGAGTTTGCACTGAGCTCCACCAGTCCTTCCTGTAGAGTCCCTGGAATAATCCTCCTGGTCTGATTAAAAAAAAAAACAAAACAAAACTGTGAAATCTATAGAAATGACAGGCAGGGTAGATGCTGGTTTTGTGGGCCTGAAGCTTATATAGTCTTAGTGGCCCTTTTAAGAAAAAAAAAAAGTACAAAAATATCTTTGCAAATTTTACCAAACGTAAGACCATGTGAACAGAGTAAACGTCGTCTGTCTGTTTGACTTGAGGAAAACACAGGTGCTCAGGTCTTCCTTCTGGGAAGGTGGTGGTCTGGCCTTTCAGTGGCCCCCACCTGCCACTTCTAAGACAACCACCAGGTGGCAGTAGACCTTCATCACCCCCTTCAACACCCCCCGCCCCATCAACTCCAGAAACTTCCAAACCTTCCTCCAGCGGGCCCAGCCAGCCAGTTCACCAAATATCAATCTAAGGCTGTGATAATGGGCAAAAGGGGTGCGATGCTTCTCCCTCAGTAGCACATCTGCCACTTAATGGAAATGCTAAGAGACTGTTTTTGTTACTAAAACCAGACAAAGGATGCTAACAGCTGACTTTCGGGCATGCTGCTGGAAATGTTCTGAAGCAGATGGATCCTTCTGTGCTCTACAGACTGCATTTATGCCGGGGTTCTAAGTCATACTACCTGTTCCCCCACCCGAGTGTATCGCTCAGTGTTCAGGTACCAGCTCGGAGTTCAGCTGAAAGTGAAAGTGACATTCACTCAGTTGTGCCTGGCTCCTTGCGACCCCATAGACTATACAGTCCATGGAATTCTCCAGGCCAGAATACTGGAGTGGGTAGCTGTTCCCTCCTCCAGGGGATCTTCCCAGCCCAGGGATTGGGGGGGCTCTGGTTGGACCAAAGTCCAGAAAGTCGGGCTCATTTTTGCAGAAGGTGAATCTATAGGTATCACCTTGTGGACAGCAAGAACCCAGAACCCACAGATGAGCATAACGGAAAGGCAGATGGCTGGGGCAGTCACCTGGCCCAGCCCGACTCCTTCCTGGGTCCTCTCTATACCATTCAGCCAGGAGGAACGCCTCATGGAGCAGGGGCCTCCTCTTCTGCACTCCTGCAGGGCCTGGTAAGCTTTCTTTGCCTTTGTCAGCAAAGTGATGTCTCTGCTTTTTAATATGCTGTCTAGATTTGTCATAACTTTCCTTCCAAAGAGCAAGTGTCTTTTAGTCTCCTCTTGGTTTGCTGAGGTCCAGGTTCGGCTTCCCAGGGGCACAGTGGTCAAGAATCCCTCTGCCAATGCAGGAGATGCAAGAGATGAGGGTTTGACCCCTGGGTCAGGAAGATCCCCTGGAGTAGGACATGGAAACCCGCTCCAGTACTTTTGCCTGGAAAATTCCATGGACAGAGGAGCCTGGCGGGCTACAGTCCATGGAATCACAGGGTAGGACACAGCTGAGCACACAGGAGCACACAAACACAAACTCCAGGTCTGTCTGAGGCATCAACAGCTAAGTCCATTTACGAGCCCACCTTCACTGCCTGGGCTGGGAGCAGGGCAGGGGTCTGAGCAGAATCTGTCCTTAGGGGAGGCAGGAGGGAGCTGCATTGTTTATCCAGAAGGAGAAAGGCCACTGAACTCCAACACAGCATTGAGGGAGACTTGGCCTGGGTGACTCGAGCCCAGAATCGAGATGTGTGCGGTTGAAGCCACAAGGAGGCCCATGGCTCAATACCAGGAAGAACTTTTTAACCTTGAGAACCACTCTGTCTGAAAAAGGCACCAGCTCCCTCCTTGGGCAGTGAGCCCCCTGGCCTGGGAGGCAGTGGGGAGGAAGCCAGAGAGATCTGAACTGGAAGATCTCTGCGGGCCCTTTGAAGTCTGAGATTGCACATTCCCACAGCCCCAGGCGGCCGATACTCTGGCAGCTTTCTGTTTATTTAGGGAGGTGATCGGCCCAGCTTCTGCCACAGACTGTCGGCAAGCGGTTTACCTTCCAGGGCAGACAGGAAAGCGGGCGGCCCAGCAGGCGGGCGAGGCTGTGGTGTAACACAGGTGTCACCAGGGCCCCTGAGAGGCTGAGCCCCGGGCCCGCGTGAGCTGCGGGTGTGCCAGCCCGGTGGCCCCGGGGCGCGGGGTGCCCAGGGGTGCGGCGGTGCAGGGAGAAGAGGAGGGTCAGCCCAGGCGCCGTCAAGTCAGAGCACCAAGAGAACACCAAGTCTTTATTACACCAATTCCTACGAAACAGCTCCAGGAAAAAACCCACACGGAGGAGAAGAAACAGAACTAACAAAGTCACACACATGGACTGGGGCTCCCCTCTACTGCGCGGGGGGCTGTGGGGGATCGGCAGGGGGCCGAAGGGCAACCGCACTTCCGCGGGATGGGGAGGTGGCCAGGGTCCCCCCTGGGCACTGCGGGGGGTGCGCCAGGCCCTCTTTATCTCAGGGTGACTTGTGGTCATCCAGCCCCAGCGGGCCTGGCGTCTCCTCAACATCCCAACCCTGTGTGGCCGGCAGGCTCCCTGCTCCAGCTGGAGCCTCTGACCCGCCCAGGCTTCCCCCAGGTCAGCACACCCCCATCTCCAGGAGGGGCGGGGGGGCGGGCGCAGAGGTGGGGCTGACCGCCCCCAGCCCTCCCGCTGGCAGTGGTTGGTGCTGGCTCAGGTCCGTAGGTCCCTTGTTCTCCTCCTGGCCATTCACCTTCTCGCTCTTGGCAAAGGGCACCCAGCACGCCCTTCTGGCCTGGGGCTGCAGGCCGGCTGGCAGCCTCTTCTTCACGCCCCCCAGCCCCACACCTTCCCGGGGTTACCAAGGAACTGACCGCTGCCCACCTGGCGGCAGTGGAACTTCTAGTCCAGATGAGGGGTCAGCACCGCTGGAGAGGGGCTGCAGGATCCCATCCAGACCGGCTTTTTGTCTTCTGCCAGACTGAAGACCGCCCCCCCCCCCCCGCTAGAATCCTCCAGCTCCAGGCTGGCCAGTTTCCCCATCCCTCTGAGGACCCTTGCCAGCCCCCAACAGAGGCAGCAAGGAGCCCATGCAGAACGGGCGGCAGACACGGCTCTGTAGGGCCCGTCACCCCTCAGACGGGGCTCCAGGGACCGCCCAGGGCTCTGTGGAGGGGTGGAGTGGAGGGGTGCGGGCCAGCGCCCCTGGGGGAAGCTGAAAGGCAGGAGGCCACGGGAAGGAAGGGCCCAAGGTGCCCAGAGGGAGCTGGGATGAGGGTGGGGGTCAGGCCGTGACTGTGGTCTCTCCTGCAGGATAGGAGGGAGGCAGGGGCTCCACCTCAGGCCAAGAAGACTCTGGTAGGATCATCCTCCCCTTTTGGGTATCCCCACCTTGCCTGCTTTCTGTTCGGTGTTTTGTTTTGTTTTTTTTAAACAGAAGAGGGGTTAGAGCTTGCATTTCCATCCATTCCCCTTAGAACAGCCTGCTCACACGAGGCGCTGTGGTTGGCTCTTGCCTCCACCCTCCTCCCTTCCTGCAATCACAGCGGGCAACTCGGAAGTTCTGAATCCCTTAGAAAGTGGCAGTGGCTGGGCTGGACTGTGGCCAGAGGATCACCGGGCCTCAGAACTCAAGCACCATCTGTCCGACGGCAGCTGGGATGCCTCCGCCGGTCGGATCGTCCCCGGCAAGGAGGAACTGCTGGTATCTGGTGGGAGAGAGGGATGGGAGAGGTCTTTTTCAATGGAGGCCCGTGGTCTTCCCTCATCACTAGTTCCTGGAGAGAGTCTGGGGCAGAAGCTTCTAAACACAGGGGCCCTCTCCTTCCCCCAAGGGACTCTGTGTCAGCCTTGGAACTCGGCCTGGGGTCACACGCGCCAATCCAAGGTCCTAGAAACATCCCAACGTGCAAACCAGGGGGGCCTCCGGTGCTAGAGGTGGAGTGGGGGTCTGGATGTGGATGTGAAGCTTGGTGGATGTGAAGCTTCTGTCTGTGGTGGGCTGAGGACCGAGCCAGTGCCTGACTTCTGTGACCAGACACAGCGGAACTCACTCAGCAGAACTACACGGAACTACACCCAGGGCGCTTGGAGGGGCAGAAAAGCAAAATGGGGCCGGAACTTGGTGGGACCCCACACCAAGCCGAGCAGCCTTCACGCAGAAGACCCATTCAGAGGGCGAGGGAGAGACGGGATTCAAGAGGCGTCCTGGTGCTGGCTGAGAGAGCAGGGGCAGGGAAGAGCCCACAGCCGTGAGCCAGGTGATGAGAGTCTGCAGAGCGGTGATGCGAAGGATAGAGAAGAGTAGTTAAGGGGGGCGTCAGGAGGAGGGGACTGTCTGGCTTCAGTGAGCGGACACCCGGGGCCAGGAAGACCGTGGTGGGCACAGCGGGGGCTGAAGGACAGATCTGGAGAACCAACATGGAGAGCCAGCCTTTGGAGCCAACCGCACACAAGTGTGACCGTCAAAGAGGCTGGTGGCGCGGCTGGGGGGAGTGGGGGGTAGGGAGACTTTGAGAAGGGTCAAGGGCAGAGCTGCCAGGAGAACCGGGGGCCCAAAGGCGCACAGAGAAGCAATAGCAGAGAGAACGGGGGCCCAGGATTGCTGGGGCCACAGGAGCCCGCGGGGAGACAATGGGCGCAGCGTGCAGAAGACAGCGCCAGAGCCAGACCGTCAGAGGCCCCCGAGCAGGCAGGTGACCGCGAGTCAATCTGGGGGGGCAGCCAACCCAGCATGGGTGAAGGAGGGTGCGGCTTCTCTCAGGTTGGGTGGCTCACAGCATATTGAGGACTCCTGGCTTTTAAGATGGGAAGCAGGGGGATGTAGGCTTGAGCACGGAGCTAGAAAGGGAAAAGGTGGACCGTTCAGGAGAGAAAGAAGTGATGAGCAAGCTCCTGTCAGGGGGTGGCTTTGGGCCAACGGGAAGGACGGACGTGGCAGTAACATCATGTGGGAGGGGGTCCTTCCCCAGGCTGGGTTTGTTTATTTTTCCAGCATTCCAGATGACAGGGACACGCAGCTGCAGTAACACGGGTGAGCACAGTAGGGGTGTTAAGGTGCCTGATGGAGGGTGTAGTGGCAAGTCAACTGGACGTGAAGGCCAGAGGCCCAGGCCGAAGACGGAGGGCCTCGTGCTGTCCCTAGCTGCGTCCCCCACACTCTGGGACCAGCACAGCAACCGGGGCAGGGTGGACAGGCAGCCTCATGGTGGGGGAGGCGCCGGAGGAGGGACCGGGTCCACGAACCCAGGGGAGGTGTCGGCATCTCCTGGTCCCTCCCCGGGGACGGTCCTGGGGGAGGCGTCTGCATCCCCTGGTTCTCCCCCTGGGGACGGTCCTGGGGGAGGTGCCGGCATCCCCTGGTCCTCCCCTAGGAATGGTCCTGAAAGACGCGTTGGCATCCCCTGGTCCTTCCTGGGGATGGAGCTGGGGGAGGTGTTGGCATCCCCTGGTCCTCCCCTGGAGATGGCCCTGGGGGAGGCGTCCACATCCCCTGGTCCTTCCCCATCCTGGGGGAGGTGTTGGCATCCCCTGGTCCTTCCCGGGGATGGAGCTGGGGGAGGTGTCGGCATCCCCTGGTCCTTCCTGGGGATGGAGCTGGGGGAGGTGCCGGCATCCCCTGGTCCTGCCCCAGGGATGGCCCTGGGGGAGGCATCCCCTGGTCCTTCCCCTCTTGGGGGAGGTGTCAGCATCCCCTGGTCCCGGGATGCACAGGAAAAGAGGAGGAAAACCAGCCTGCAGGCCCAGGGCTCCGGCCAGAGACAGGGCTTCCTTGAGAGGGGCTGTGTCCTCATCGCCTCCACCACCGAAGCCCAAGTTGGCAGAGGAGAGGAGGTGTGGACCCGGCCAGGGTGAAGCCGTCTCAGCTTTTCTCACACTGTTCTTAGCACGCTCTGTATGTCCTGGACTTTCTTCTCAACTATTCAAGGTCAAAGCTGGTTTTTCTTTTCCTGTTCCTAGCATCTGGCACAGGCAGGTGTGATTATCTTTTGTCAAATGAATAAATAACGGAGGAAACGCAAACCACGAGCTCCCCAGTCACAACACCAAGGGGAAGAACCGGGCCTGCAGCATCCAGTTGCCTGAGCCCGCCGCCCCCACCCCGGGGAGACGGCCGGCAGTCCCAGGCAGGGCGGCCCCGGGCCTTACCTCCTACTGCCCTTCTTTAAGGGCTTCCTCCACCGTGGGCACCTCCTGTCGCCTTCCCCGGAAGTCTTCATCTGAAACGCAGAGGAAAGGACCTCAGCCTCCCCACTGCACTGCTTCGCTCAGGTGCGGCCCCCAGGCTGGGGAAGACGGCTGACCCCGCTGTCTCCACCGCGGTGGCTAAAGCACACGCTGCCCCCTCGGGGCCTGGGCAGAGGCCACGGGCGTGGGGTCAGGACCCCTGGCAGCTGCTCTGCCTCCATCTCTGAGCTCTGAGAACTCGGGCAAGTTCTTCCCTCACTTTCCTCATCTATCAAATGAGATGCGGGACGCGGGACTGTCCAGATGACCTTCAAGGCCCTTCTGGCCCTTGTTTCTGGATGTCTCCTGACCACCGAAGGGCCCTTCTGCTTTGGCTCACCAGAACCAGGGCTCAGCTGTGGGCCCAGGGAGGTCTGAGGCAGCGTCTTCTGGCCCACATGCCATTGGGAGGGACTGAACGGAGGTTGAAAGGCCTCTGGGCCCCAACACCGAAACTGCCCAGAGCACGGTTCTCAAGGTGAGGTCCCTCCATGTAGTTGGGCTTGTCTGTCCCCTCACACCCCAGAGAATATTCCCCAGGAGCATCACTCAGCTCTTTATGTTCCAGGTAAAGATCTAGGTGATGTGGCTGGGCCCCCTTTCAGAAGTGAAAGGAAAGGAGAGGCAATGGGGACCAAGTTCAGTGCAGTCGCTCAGTCGTGTCCAACTCTTTGCAACCCCATGGACTGCAGCACGCCAGGCCTCCCTGTCTATCACTAATTGCTGGAGTTTACTCAAACTCATGCCCATCAAGTCAATGATGCTATCCAACCATCTCATCCTCTGTCGTCCACTTCTCCTCCCACCTTCAATCTTTCCCAGCATCAGGGTCTTTTCCAATAAGTCAGTTCTTCACATCAGGTGGCCAAAGTATTGGAGTTTCAGCTTCAGTATCAGTCCTTCCAATGAACACCCAGGACTAATTTCCTTCAGGATGGACTGGTTGGATCTCCTTACAGTCCAAGGGACTCTCAAGAGTCTTCTCCAACACC